AGATATAGATATAGATAGATATAGATAGATATAGATACTGTATATAGATATCTCCCTGGCAGACTTTCACTTAGAAGAAAAAGATACCAGTTGCCTTTAAACATTGAAACTACTTTTTTACAATTACTCTGTACAAACTTCTATCATAATAATTTGGTTGTCAAAGCTGTTGCCAATTCATTTAACTGATTAAGCTGATAAATGAATCAAATTTTAAACTGTCTCCTTGATTTGCCTCTGCTTGAATTGTACTTTTTATTCTGCTTTGGGCAAAAGCCAACAAAGATAAATGTTAAAGTCAATGACTCAGATTGAAGGACTTTGGTTTATAGACTGTTGTAGGACTCGTGGTTTGGTACTTCAAATAAAAAAGATTAGGAGACACTGCATTTGTACATATATATTTTGGATGTGGGTATACAGAACAAAGTCATTACTTTATTCATTTCCTAATGGAGAGGCTGAAGCCTTTGTAAGGTTGGGAGAAGGGCCGTTCACATGTTGGATGGATCATCAGTCCACCACAGGGCTAACGTGCAGAAACAGCCTCACACTCAGGGCCAGTTAATGATACCGTGCACTTCTCTGGATTGCACCATCATTCCATGCACAGGCAGTTCACATAAGTAAAGAGCATCACGTCTCAGTCACCCGAAAGTCAATTATTATGGGGCCACTCCCGTGTTCTGTTAATTGTCCGTGCTGGCTGAATCTGAAGGGGCCGAATAAATTAAATGAGCAGAACTTGGATCAAATCCAGCAGTTTAAGCCAGCCATTGTGACAGATTGTGCCTCCTCCCCTCGGTTCTCAGCATAAAGATTACTGAACCCTGCATAATGTTGACCGGTGATTTTAACCAGCAGAGACGGACATGCATCTCTCTTAGTCCCCATTAGTGTCTCAACAGTCAGCTCAGCCAATCTGCTGGATTGATTAAGTGAGAGCAGCAGAGCAGAAATGGCTGAGTGCAGAAATTTTCTAAGACTCTAAACAACAGAGGAGGGCCAAAGGTCCTCAGCCTGATACAGACAAGCTTTAATAAAGAGCCAAATGAGATTGAGAAGGTCCAGTTTCACAATTATCACAGATCATCACCGTTCTCCTTCAACAGGGAGACGCCCAACTGTGAAACAACAACAACAACAAAAGTACCCCAACTCAAATAAAAACATGCATCGCCCTCACAGTTCAGAGCTATTTTAGGATCTGACAGGTTTGATATCTTCTGCTGCGCTACCAGCGAGGATGGGATCGATAGATGATCCGCTTCATTCATTATTAATCAGGCCAGAGAAAAAGAAGACTGGAAAGGGAGAGAGCCAGGGAGGGGGAAAGGTAGGAGAGACAGGAAGGAGAGCAGAAGATCACAGAGGGGACAGAGGGTGTGCTGGGTAACAAAGTAGATCAAGTAAAAAGAAAAAAGGGAAGAGACTTTTTTTTCTTTCAGCAGCAAAAGCTGAAACGTCATCGGTTAAGAACTCCTGGTGTTGAAACTCATACTACTTGAAGGGAATTTATTTGTAGAGGTGTATAAAGTACTAGGAAAAAAATACCTTAATGGCAAAAATGAATTTCACTGATGAGAGAAGTACTTAATAAAAGTCATAAAACTACTCACAATAATCGGGAAAGTAAAAGTAAAAATACTTTTACATACACTAAAATATGAAGTAAAGAATCTACTTAATCAAGTTATGTTGTTTGGTTCCACTAAACTGAGTTGAGTAAATGTAGAGACATTTATTCAGCTCGATTTAATGGAACCAGTTAACAAATCACTTCATTTCTTAGAGTTTATAAACAACTCCTTTCCTGATGAGTTTGGTCATATTTAAATTTGTAGCATGAAATGAGGTGTTAATTTATAAAGTAAAGAAGCAAAAGTATCATTTTTATGTTTTGAATGTAGCAAAATAAAAGTAAAAGTTACTTTTAAAAATACTTGGCAAAATTATAGATTCTCAAAAAAGTACTTAAGTACTTTAAGAAAGTAAATGTACTTCATTCTGCTTATTTCTCCAAAGAACACTCAAATCCACCTATAAGATGACATCAGTAATAACGCCTTTTTTGAAATTATCCTGTATTTAAAGAAGAAGTGCATTTCGCCCTTTTACACCTGAGTGTTTAACTAAAATGATAAACAGTGTTGTATAAAGTACCACAAAGTAAAAGTACAAGTATCTTATCATAAAATTACTTTGGTAAAAGTTAAAGTCTCCTCTAAGAATATTACTTGAGTAAAAGTCTTAATCTGATTTATTTTGTAAGTATCATAAGTAAATGCTTGACATAAAATGTACTTAAGTATTAAAAGTAAAAGTATTAGGTAAATATTAGAGGTTAGATTTTCCAAATACATTTTTTAAAGGYGTGCAGCTGTGAAGGATTGTGTACAAACTAATATGTGTCGGAATGGTATACATTTATAGTTGTCATCTAACCACAATTAAATTCAAAGGCACAGTTTATTGGGATAGATTTGTTTCAACAATATGARCCAGAATGAAATAGAAGTAATGACTTTCTACATCTTAACCTTTAAAAAGATGTAGGGAGTAGAAAGTACAGATAATTGTGTAAAAATATAAGGAGTAAAAGTAAAAAGTTGGCTGAAAAAATTTACTTAAGGTACAGATAACCAAAATTTCTACTTAATTTTACAGTAACTAAGTACAAATACTTGGTTACTGTAACCAAGTATTTGTACTTAGTTACTTTACAACTCTGATGATAAAAGAGACTGATAAGAAAATGTTTTGTTTAAAAATGTAAACGCGGTTTTTGCAGTCTAATGTTGATTGTGAGATCTCGTCAAATCTGTTTGCRCTCAAAGCCTGAATTGAGGATGACTCTCAGTCACTACCTAATCCAACTTTAGCTCAACATTTACAGCAATGTTTTGTGTTCAATTCCTCTTAAGGTTAATCAGCTGCAAATGTACATCCACTTATGAATTATTTGAAAATGAATTTCTACATTAAGCACAATTTGTCTAGTTGTTTATGAAATTTTACTAACAGACAAACTGGGTCAACAGAAACGTTTTACTTTACAAATGAACTAAACGATGTCAACAAGGAAGGACTTGTCCATCCAGCCTTGCATGTTGGAGCCAGAGTCTGACCCAGAACCAGAGGACAAGGAAATGTAGTTGGTAAGTCCAGAMCTTGTTTGTCTGTTTTGCTGCAAATAATTTGACATAACAGATCAGAAGGTGTTGTTCTGGTCATGTTTGCAATAATTAGACTACATACTACATACATTTTACAACCCAAACATTCAAGATTTTGTTTTCATGTTTTCCATTGAACGTTCTGTGAGCTTGACTTGACTTACATCATGTTAAGCAAAATCTGACAAGCTTTGTTTAATGCAACACTTTTTAAGTGATGGACTGTTTAAAGTTGTGTTGGACAAACTGATTTCATGTTCAACCATAAATCCATACTGGTCGCATTCTTTATTCAGGGACTTAAGAAAAGACTTATGTGACTACACTCCTTTTRTGTGCCTCCTGTCTCGAAGAAACTTGAACGCAGCAGAGAAAGGTAATATGTGGTGTCCGTGCCGAGAATCCTTAAGACCAGAAGAACTGTTTTATGATGCGGAGTCTCATCCCGACCCACCCTGCACACGTTCACCACCTCCTTTTTTCATCCCTTGTGTCTGATTACATACATTCTGCTCTGGGAAGCTTAGCTCTTTATGCCACCGTACACACAAAGCATCTTTATACCACCGAACACAGAGAGTGAAGCGCTAATAATACACTTTGAGTTCTTTAAATCTAACTAATGTATTTTTCTAATTAGAGCATAATGATCAAGAATGAAAGATGTGATCACAAGTCATGGTATATGTTTGGTTTGTTCCGTGTAGAGGCACAAAACCAGAGCAAATGCCCCTGAAAATGCAGCTTCGACTTCTGGAATTCAAGCCATGTTCCAGGATCGTGACGTGCAGTTATTTGCAGTCCCCCCATGCAGACAGCAGGGGTCACAGGACTTCTGCGTCTGCCGGCCACCCCTCGCCACCAACCGTTATTGAATAATCCCTCAAGTTCCACGGTAAAATCTGCTGTGCCGCAGTAATACCGCCACAATCTCTGCTGCGTTCCTCGCACGGCACCGTGAACCCCATTCACATCACATCTCTGTCAGGCAGACGCACGGGCATGATCTGTTGTGCACACRCAGGGGAGGAGGGGAGCACCAGAAGGGCATGTTGTCTGTGCTGCTGAGTGGGATGTAGATGCACAATGACACGCCACGTTACATAAGTCAGTGAGACAGAGATGTGCTTATTAAGAGGAGTTTACAGACTGTGAAACTGAGAGTTAATACCGTCTGCCGGGACACATGGATACTCCGTCCCCGGTGCTCTATTATACGAATTATGCTCTCATGAGCAGCAGAGTGGATGATGATGATGATGATGATGATGATGTGCAGGGGACTTATTACTCCGAGATGCTGAGTGATATTTGAAATGTTCCTGTTGTTACACCAAACATTCCTCCACTTTTAATTTGTCCATGGCAGACATAAATAATGGGCTGTTTCTTTTTTTTTTTTTTTTTTGTATTATTAGCTGTTACATTATCTCTGCAAACTGCCAGCATTTCTTTCAGATCTGCCCCATGTTTCTTTTGTCCTTTCCAATTATTGTCTTTGCTACTTTGTCTAATGCAGAGGAGCCCAAAGTKGGGCCCGCGGGCCAAATTTGGCCTGCCAAGCCATTTTATTTTGCCCACTAATAGCTGCCAAACTTACAAGGTTGTAACCTGTTATCCTATGTAGAAACACAGTATTTCCATTGGTCAAATGACTGTATAAAAGGGCTATAGTGAAAGTAGTTTTCATTCATGGTACTGACTTTATCTTTGATTTATTAGGATTAAATATGAAACATGAAATGACAACAAGAAATATTAAGATCAGATTTAACCCCATGTGTAAATTTGCACACTTTACAAGGCCACAAAAACTCATATTTTATCAATTTAAGAAATGTCCCATGAGCCTTTGCTACTTGAGAGTATGACAGACTTTATCCAAGTGCACAAACTAAAACAAAAGAGGACCATTGCATAGCTTAATCATTAAAAATTAAGGACTTTACTTTAAAAAAGTATTTGTATTTCATGTATTATATTACCAGTACTGCATTTGGCCCGCAGCCATGGATAGATTTTCATTTTGGCCCTCTCGTGGAAAATGTTTGGGCACCCCTGGTCCAATGTCAACCATTTCTCCTATCCTGTGTACTTAGCCACATGTCTCCCTCTATTTTAAGACAATTTGTACATTTTCCCAGCGTGTCCATACAAGTCACCTTTAAACACCTTGTAACAAGAACAACTCATGAACTCTTGAATGTCAATAACCCTCTTTTTTTAGTCTTTATCAAATCATCACCACCACTTATTTCCTGCATACCTATTGTCAACGAAAAGTTGAAAAGAAAAAAATTAATRAAATGTGTACCCGAAAACACAGCAACAAATTATTTCCTTAGCTTGTAAGAGAGAACCTGTTTTAGCAGAATGACCACTGCAGGTAAGGTGGTKTATGAAAACAGTAAGAACCAGGAATAATATGTCAGTAAAAGTRGCTCCTCTCAAGGCAGCGGATAGTTTATTTATCACAATAACTACTAATGTCATATAATGTCCTGTAAAAAGCAAAAAATATCCACAAAGCTCTTTATTATGCCACCTGAACTACATCTGTTGCACCACRGAGAAAATCATGTCACTATTGAACCTAACACATAACAACATAAAAGAAAACAGCTGCTCTGCTGCACAGACTGTAAACCTGGTGCTGTGTAAGTTTGTGTGAGGAAATTCTCAGAAAGAGGTCAGTGTGGGCTGCAGTAAAGCTCATTCTGAGGAAATCCCTGCTTTTTTCAGGTCACAGAAGCAAATCAGAAGCAGGTAAGATGATGAGAGATGGTGCAGTCTTTATACCTTCCACTTTCAAGTGTTTTTGAGTTGATTATTTACCACCATTAAATAGCTTACCTGCATCTGAAAGTACATTAATGAGAAATTTAATTCTGGTGCAGCACATAATRTTTTTACTTACATGAGAGCATTGGCTGGAAAATGAGCAGAAATCTATTGCTTCCTAATGTAAACATTATGATTTTTGCAGTCATTTTGAGCAAAAATGGACAGAAATAAGGTTTGCTGCAGTGAAAAGTATGTTGTTAACATTTTATCAATAGTGATTTGACACCAAATGTATAAATAGGCATATGTTCTGTTTAAAGTCCTATCAAACTGAACAAAAAAACTTACAGGTTTTGATCAAATCTGATATTTATCTGCTTAATTTTTCTTAGTGAAACTTTAAAAATATATATTTTTGTATGATGTCAAGTGATTAGGTCTAAAATTTAAGCACTGGTTCAWTGTACAGCTAATTTACTGTTTCTCAGCGACCATAGAAAATGATTCTGCCCAGGCTGTAGCCAGWATCTGTGTATGMCRTTAAGTGCCAGGAGAACTGTGATACAYTGGAGAAACAAAGCAGCCTCTGTTCAAAATTAATGACCCAGCACAGAAGAACAACATCATCAGGTGAGGACTTTGCAGTTAACAATCTTCTACAGGCTAGCCGTCACTCTTTCAGGGATGAAGATGTTCTCATCCTTGAGAGAGAGAACGTTGGTTTGAGGGAGGAGTAAAGGAAATCATTTTTGTGAATAGAAACTGTCTGTTGTTAAACGGGGGGTGGTATTTTTGTCTCCCCACTTATAATGCTGTTATTGCGATTATGACTCAGCTCTCTGTGAACATTAGGGATAATCAGGGTCCTAACATACATTCAGGTGAAATTGTTGTTCTTACTGTCAGGATGATTATTCACTCAGACAAACCAGGTGAATACTGATCAGTCACAACATTAACACCTGGCCTTGTCTACAGGTTTTCTGGAGATGGACAGTTCAGATCCATCAGATTTGACAATTTCTTGATCGGGAACAACACATTGGTAAATGTTGCATGTGAGTAAAACACCCAGAATTCCCTAAAAGAACACTGACTTGTGGTAAGATGATCAGCGTCAGCTTAACATGTTGGTGGATTTTTGTGGCAGTAACATATCTGATAGATTTGTGATATACCGAGTTATTTTTTTCTTCTACAGTCAACAGACCTGCAGGTACTCACCGATGTATAAAGGTATCCTTCTCCATTCATGGCAAGGTACAGCCCTGTTTTTGTGCCTTGAATTGCCACAATCCTCAGCCCCACCGGAATTAAGTTGAACTGTGCTAAATCCAGAAAAAAAGGGTGAAAAAATGACACATTAGAGAAAGTCAGGTGACTGGGACATCCAGCTAAACACATTCTGTCTTCATTGTTGCAGGCTAAACGGCTCCAGTGTCACTGCTGTTATGACATTTAAAAACCCAAATGCTGCGACCTCTTAGAGTTCATGTTTATAGAACCACAACATCAAGTCACCTTCATTGTGCTTTTCACAGACTCCAAATATAGAAAATAACTGCAGTCCTAATTCTAAAACTGTTGGGACGTTGTGTAAAATCGAAATAAAAAAACTGGAAGCAAGGATTGCCAATTTCGTAAGCCCATATTTTATTTACAATGGAATATAGAAAAACAAATATTTCATCCTTTTTTATTATTTTTTWAGGAAATACTAAGTAATTTGGAATTTTATGGCAACATCAAACCTCAAAATAGTGGAACAATGTTTACCACTGTAAAGCATCTATTCTTCTTTCAATATTTTAAAACATTTTAAATTAGATTTGATCAGTAAGAGGYGTTCTACTAATTGTGACTCTTGTGAGGGATTGATGGATTTTTTTTATTTCGAGTGATTTTTATTTCTAAGATGTTTAGTTACCAAGCTCACAAGATGGGGTTTGTATTAATTTAGATTTTGGCAAAAAAATAGTTAAAATAATAAAAAAAGAAAACATGAAAGTGAAAGTGGATTACTTTCACATTTACAATGCTTGTGAGTTTTAAACTGCTTTAAGGAACACAAAAAAATAATTTAAACAGGTAAATAAATGCTATTTCTCTTTCAATCTACAGTTTCTAAGGTCAACATGGCAACTGGGAAAAATTTTTGTGTCAGAGAGAATGAAGAATTTTCAGTCTGAATATCTCTTTTTTGTTTTTGCTAAAGATCACACTGAACAATGACATCATCTTGGCTTTCTGTGGTTAAAAACTTTCACTTTAGTGAAAAGCAGAAAGCTAATAAAAATCCCCATCTGTGATCGGAACATTTTAAAGAGAACTGTCAAAAGTTTGGCAGCCAGTTTGACACCATTTTACTTTTTTTATTCAAGTACAAAAATAACAGCACTAATTTAAATTAATTTGACAGGTGAACTGATGAAATCCTCACTTGTTCCACAACTCCTCAGGCTGAGGGCCCGTATGGCACAGCATGGCTCTGCTGTGGTTCTGTTTAGTTCTGTGCAGCAATAAATTTACCAACAGTAGACATTTCTCCTACTGAGGACAGGTTCTGTTCCATTTTTATCACCCATCGCTGAAGGCAAAGGCAGAGCAATGATGGCTTTTGCCGTGTCTGTATCTACCATTAAAATGTCTTGTGATCTACAAAACAACTTYTAATGAAACTTTCAGAAAACAATCAATGTTGACATCTACAACTGATCAACCTTTGGAGTCAACTTGATTCACAAAGACCACAAACATTCAAAAAAGCCACATCTCAGTCAATTTTAAACATAGAACTAAGATTTGGTGTAGTTGAGACTGATCCCTGACTGATACCAAGTCTTACCACTAAGTATGTTAGAGTTTAAAACTTAGCCAAGAATCAACTCTGTTAACATAACATTCCATGAACCACTGGATGGGTTTTAATAAAACCTTTAGAAAGTAATCATTGGATTAACATCTATTCTTGACTTTGGGTCAAAGGTTTACAGACTTAATTCAATTCAAGATGGAAACAAACCCAACTGATCTTAGAAAAAAAATGTGGCCATATCTCAGCCAGTATTACAAAGATTGAGTTAAAAATTTAGTGTGAGCATCGTCCACAATACATACTTTTTCCTAAAACTTTGCCATTACCTATTGGTTGCCAAATTTCTGATTAACAATTGCACTTTTTAGTGACAGTTAATAAACATAGCTGTTGGCTGTCACAACTAATCAGCCCTAATCTACCAAAAGATGGCCAAAGTTTAGTGAATGTAGATATTGAGGTCAGTGAAGAGCCAGACAATTTGTAGCGGGCTGGCCAGATTGAAGCCACTGGTCACASAGGAGCGGCCCAGAAAATGGCAACTATTTTGTTTACGTGGCAATTTGCTGAGGATCTAATAGTCTTTCTTGGTCATTCTCTTATTTACTAACACAAACAGTATACCATGTAGAATTACATTGTGAGAATGCCCTATTTGAGTAGTGCAGTTTAATAAAAACATTTTGGGTATAGAAATGGCTTTGCCAAAATKTTGCAAGCAAAGCAGGATGGGGTGGCCGGGTAGCCAAAGATTTTTCTTTGGTGGCTATGGCCACCCCTTGGCCACCCACTGGCTCTGCCTCTGATTGTGCTAAAATTTGGTGTGGTAGTAGCTGATAGTTGTTCACAACATACAGTCCATAGGTTTACAACCTGTTTCTCAGCTTAAGGTGATCTTMGTCTAAAACTCTGCCATGAAAGATGATGGGTGAGATGCAATCCTTCGAGGAATATTAGGCCTTTTTTAAACTATATAATATATGATGATATAGGAAAATCGCATTTTTCGAGGATTTCACACAGTTTTTTCTTCTTGTAATTTGTGCAAAAGACATTTTTTACAACAAAAGCATGCATTAAATAAATGTACACTCACTAAAAGAGCTTCCTTCCTCCTTTGTGCTGCCCAAGGTGCCATCGGGCTGCATCTGCAGGTAGTATCCATGTTGGCTGTACAGCCGGGTAACAATGCCTTTCAGCTGTGGCTCTGCAGACAAAACCAATGGAGGAAAAAAAACCACTTTAAACAAATGCTGCTTCCATATGTTAACATTACATCTACAGATTGACAGGCATGGAGTTCTGTCGAATGGCTGCATCATCAGAATACAAACCATCTTAGTTGGTTCAGTTCTCAAATCAATTTTTTTTATTTGTAAAAACAAAATAATAAAACCAGGAGCTTAAAAATGAAATACCTTTGTATAAAAGAGGCAGTTTTGTTAGTTTAGCGCTTAAGACATAAATGTGCTTACTCAGGCTGAACATAAGACAAACTGAAATTGATTGAAAGATTAGCCGGGCCTCTGCAAGGAATGACGCACGATTCRAAAAACATTTTTACACTCAGTTTATCCCTGAAGCTCCCCAACATTCATTTAGTACAAAACAGCCTTCAGGGTATGTGTTGGGGATGAGGATCTTTAACTTAATATTTGTCAAATTAACTGAATGCAGCCATTTTTGAGTTTGTAAAGATTAGAGTTGTAGCAGACATTTTGTATTGGGTTTACGCAAAGTAAATCAGTGCATCCAATGAATAGAGCTTTATTAAATCTGTTAAAAGCCCTGCCATGATTTGGTAGTGATTCAACCTTAAATGCAGACAAACATCCTCTGGATTCAGATTCTTAATTATAGCTTTGGCTTTAATTTTCAAATCAAAATGCTGTTGAGGCAGCAGCAGCAACCTTTATAAACCAAAACTCATTGTGATAGGACACGTGCATTTAACCCATGATTGACACATAGAACACCAAACCAAAGAACAGACAAGCACACCAAGAATATAAAGACCAACTAATGAACCCAAACAACCAACACCTGTGCAGAGACAAACAGAATCAGGTGAGATGATGGCAGACCAGAGGAGCAGGAACCAGACAGAGGAAATGTATGTTTAGTAGATTATTTCTTCATTGTAACAATGCTTCTTTGGCAATAAATCTTATACCGTTGGAAAGCCTGTTAATTTAACTTTTAAATGGTGCCACATTTGTAAGGAACATGCATTTGTGGGATGAGCAGAACAGCTGAGTTTGTTGGTTCTGCACATGAAACACTTGCAGAATTGTTACAACAAAGAAATGATCTACCAAACAAAAATATTATTACTTTTCCTGCCAAGTAAAAAATAACACAATTTTCAAACAAAACAAAACATTTTTTGCCTTCTGCAGTGAGTAAAAGAGTTCAAACAGCTGTGGAGCTGGAGGAGAATATGGAGGTCTCTGTGGCTTTGGAGTCATTTAGGAGACACAATCTTGCACATCTCCCAACTTGTTCTAAAATACATTTATTTGTTCTGGTAAATAAACTCACCAGTAATTTTCACTACAGAGAAATGAAACACGGATACATACGTTTTAGGTGGCATCTTCTAGAAGTTTGGACCCCCCGCCCCCCCTTAAATTAAACTCCTTCCATCCCCTCCCACACTCCCAAGAGAACTACCTGGGGCCCTGTGCAATCTGCCTGTCTTCTTTGGACTGGAGCGAGGCAGGGGAGGACATGATGAGATCTGTAGCACTACATCTCAGAGGAACTGTGCCAGGGTTGAAACATCAGTTAAACTGCGACCTACTCTCTGTGTTACATGAGTGCATCTGCAGCTCTGCACATCCCCGCTCCTTCAGAGGAGGTTGTCAAAACATTCCATCACGTCGCTGCTCTGTCGTTCTCCCGTTCTCTCCGTGCTTTTTTAACATTCATACCCTTTGAGTTATGTTTTTTTTCTTCTTACCATCACACCTAATAATATAATCCATCATCCGATTAAAGCACAGAGAGGCTTTTCATTACTCGTCCCAAATGCAAAGAAAGAGAAATGAGAGGATCAGGGTAGAGGGAAGTGAGGGACGGCTGGGGGACATATGAATAAGATGACAATGTCATTTCCTTAGGAGTGATGATTGCCTATGTTCGAGGAGAAGTGCCTTTACTGTCTGTAGATATTCACAGTTTGTACAGGATGGCTACAATCCAAAATCCAGTATTTAACTTCAAGAAGATAAAAATAAAGTTTTACTTGACAGGAATTGTATCATATCTGAAAAGTTGGGATGTTATGTAAAATTAGCACAATTTTTTTAGAGTTGATGTGCTCATGTTGTATTTCTGTAATAAATTAACTTATTTTTGGACTTWTCCACAGTCTTAAAAACAGGTCTGATTCTGTTTGGGACATTACTACATGGACTCAAGAACACTTCCATAGATCACCATTTGTAAACACAGTGACATCCACAAACACAGGTTAAAGCTCTATTGCGCATATGAAACATGTGAACACCATCCAGAAACATTGTCRTTTTCTCTGGACCAAAGTGAAAAATCTGTTCTCTGGTTTGAGAAATCTAAAAGATTTTTTATTTTTTGGAAATCACTAATCATAATCCTCTATATGAAAGAGGAGAGAAACCATCCAGCCTGTTGTCAGCACACAGTCCAAAAGCATCTCTGATGTTATAGGTGTGCATCAGTGCCCCTAACTATTACACAACTGGAMAGACACCATCAGTTCAGAAAAATACATACAGGTTTTAGAACATTTGATCCCAAAATGTTATACAAGTTTTTAGTTTAAACGTTAAACATTATTACTGCGTTTCATTGTAAGTAACCGTGTTAATATCCAGGCCATGTATGTGTTATACTTTTTACTGTACCAAATTTTTAAAAAGTACATTTTATTCAACCACAAACTTTACATTTTGAAGCTTTAATCATTGGTTACTTTTATGGTTTTACAATAGTTCAAGACTGTTTGAAAAAAAAACCCAACATATTACTGAAGTTTAAAGAACTTCTCAGTTTTATCTGTTTCTATTCACAGAACTGCTCCACTCTCAGCAGCTACAACAGCAACATGCTACTGCTTTGTAGTAATGATGCTAGAAAATACCAGTTTTAGGTCCATTTTTCCACTTTCAGTTAAGGGTTTGTACAAAGATTTTATATTTATGAAGGATTTCATTGCTATATTTATATTGTACTTTAGTAAATATAAAATCTTCTTTACTTTCCATTTTCAGCATCTCAAAAGCATTTTATTTGGTATAATCCCTTCATGAACGCAAACACAAAGCAGCAGAGTCTGAGGAAATTCTATATTTTTGCTTTCAGCAAGACTCTGCCTCTACAATAAATAAATAAAATAAACATGTTACCCATAATGCAAAGGGACAGATTTTTCATTGGATGCACAGTGCCCAGTAAGTGCTCATGACATTATCCCAAAACTTTAATCTCAAACTGAGATCAGTCCATGTTTAAGCCTTTTGTGGGGGAGGGGAGGAGGATGGAGATTGGTAAACAACAGTTTTCTCTGAGTTGGACTTTCTGTGACTTGTGGTAAAACATAGTTCCTTCCCTCTGTTGAAAAAAATGTGATTGTGTCCAAGCCTTCAAAAGAAAAAAMCACATTGTTAGGCAAATCAACCCCCCATCCCCCACCCTCCATSCAAATAGTATAAGCCCTAGAGGAGTACGCTGACAGACAGTGATCCACTCTGACAGTAGTCTACCTCTGGTTGGATTAGCAAAGCACACAGATTTGTTTACATGAGCAAAAATCCCGTGTTTGCATCTCGGGGATGTGCCTGCAACCTCGACTGCTGCACAGGGGCTAATACATGATGCAGATGATCACTCAAAAGGTCATGTGTTGTGATCTTTGAGAATGTTTGTCCTAACACAAATACAGAGCAGATATGAACAAACTGATTTAATATAAAATATCCAATAAAATTTGGAGATCTTGTTTAATTTACCAATATGTACCTGATCTACTTACTGAGTTAGAACTTAAACATTACACAACTTTAAAAACACATTTTCCTTGATTTAGAACAAGCTGGCTCTACTTCCTTATAGGCCTACAGCSCCTCTGACTGGATCAAATCAAATGTACAGTAAGATACAGTATATACTGTTACAATATTTTAAAATATAAAAAAAGATTTTCTTTTGGTGTGTAATGTTATTAAAGTCACACGTGAATACGTTTGTTCTCGCGATGTCATTACAAACATGGCGGCAATGGATGTAAACACATAGCATATTGCTACCGTGACACCAGTGCTCATCATCAGGAGATGTTGGCGTCTTTCATCGAGGCTTTCCAATGACAAGCCCCTACTTGGGAGCGGCTACGTATGCTGTGTTTTTGGGAAATTGTAGTCGGTGAGTTTACTACTTTATTTTACTACTTCTGTGATATTACTACTACTACTTCTACATCCTGTTATCTTCTTCGTCATCATCTTTTTCGCCAGTAGAAACAGCCGGTTATTGATCACATGACTCCCATGATGCGAAAAAAGTGTTTCCATTACAGTTTAGTGAAAAACACACATTTTGATACGGCCGAAAAACCACTTCATCCTACCGCAAAAACATTTTGTTGAAAAACATAATTTTGTTCGAAATTGACATGTTTCCATTGAGCAAATTTATTTTTGAAATTCTAATTTGTGCATTTTCGTGGTCAACGGAAACAGCTACTGAGACATGGTATGTAACGCTTCAGTCTCATGGTAGCCAAACCTTGGAGCCAAACTCAAACTAGATTTATAAATAGTTTAATCTTGAAAATGTCAGAAAATTGAAGGGAACATAAAAAATGGGAATGTCACCTTAATAACATTTTTTTGAAGTGGGATCATGAAGTTGTTAAGAACAGTCATGTCTGTATTAGGCAATTGTTTAAATTATGTTTTTTTTTCAAGTCAGCTGTGACCTACAGGTCTTCTAATCCATCCTTTTTTATTTTGGATCAGGGAAGCTGGTGTCTATCTCAGTCATTGTCACTCTAGACAGGTCACACATTTATCGCAGCTCCACATAGACACAAATGAGACAAACAACCATCTACACTCTCACTCACATCGGAGGCTGTCCAGAGTTACGTAGCTATCATACTTGTTTTTGGTCTGTCGGAGAAAACCAGAGTTAGTGAAGAAAACTCTGCACAGAGACAACAGGCAAACTCCACCCAGAAAACTGCACCATCCTTTTAACGGACATTTGCTGCTGCAGCTGCTCTCATGATCACGAGAAGTGCCACATTTCTTAAGTTCAATAATTCATGTTGGAACAAACA